AGTTAGAATGTTATCAGCCTAAAATACACTATTTGAAGATATTTGCAAGCCTCATGGTAACCAAAAGCAAAAACCTATAGAAGTATGCAAAAGACAGAGAAATCAAAACATAACACTATGGGAAATCATCAATGCACAAAAAAAGATAGCAGGAGAGGAAGAAAGGACTATGCAACTGCCAGAAAACAGTAACATAGCAACAGTAAGGCTGTACCTATCAATTCTTACTTCAAATTTAACAGACTAAAATCTCTAATCAAAAAACATAGAGTGGTTGAATGAGTACAAAAATAAGAGCTAACTATATGCTGCCTACAAGAGAATAACTTCAGATTTAAGGATACACAGACTGTAAATGAAGGGATGAAGAAGATATTTCATGCCAGTGGAAACCAGAAGAAAGCAGGACTAAGTATGCTTATATCAGAAAAAATAGACTGTAAGTTAACAACTGTAGTAAGAGACAAAGAATGTCATATGATGACAATGAGGTCAATTCATCAAGAGTATATAACACTTGCAAATATGCACCCAACACAGGAGCAGCTAAACTTATAAAGCAGATATGAACAGATCTGAAGAAAGAAATACACATAAATACAATATTAGGGGACTTTAATACCCCACTTTCAATAATGGATAGGTCAGCCAGACAGAAAGTCAATAAAGAAATGCTGGACTTAAATGATGCTTTAGACCATATGGACCTAAAAGACATATACAGAACATTCTACCCAACAGCAGCAGAAAATACATTATTCTCAAACACATATGGAATATTCTCCAAGAAAAATCATGTATTAGGCCATAAAACCAGTCTCAGCAAATTTTAAAAGACCGAAATCATTCCAACTAACTTTTCTGACTACAATGGCACAAAACTAGAAATCAATGACAAAAAGAAAACTGGAATACTCATAAATATGTGGTAATTTAACAACATGCTCCTGTACAACCAAGGCATCAAGAAATGAAAAGAGAAATTTAAAAATCTTGACACAAATGAAATAGAAACACAACATGCTAACACTTATGGGATGCAGTAAACAATATAAAAAAATCAATACAACTAAGAGCTGGTTTTAGGAAAAGATACGCAAAACTGATAAACCTTTAACTAGACCAAGAAAAAAAGAGAAAAGCCTCAATTAATAAAATCAGATTTGAAAGAGAAGACTTATTACAGAAATCCAAAGGATCAAAAGAAACTACTATGAATAATTATACATCAATTAGTTGGATAACATAGAAGAAATGTATGAATTCCTAGAAACACAAACTCTACAAGATGGAATTCTGAAAAAATAGAAAATATGAACAGACCAATAACTAGTAAGGAGACTGAATCAGTAATTAAAAACCTCTTAAAACAGAGAAGTCCAGAATCAGATGGCTTCACTGGTGAATTCTACCAAATATTAAAGTGCTAATATCCATCCTTTTCAAAACCGAATAGGTGGTAACATGTCTGAACTCATTTTAGGAGGCCAGTAAATCCCAGTTACCAAAGCCAATAAAGGACACTACAGGGAAAGTAACTGTACTCCAATATCCCTGGTGAACACAGATGTAAAAACTCTCAACAAAAATATTAGCAAACTGAATTCAACATTACTTCAAAAGGACCATACACTATGATCAAGATTTACTGCAGGGATGTAAGAATGGTTCAACATACACAAATCAACCAATGTGAAACAATACATTAACACAATGAAAGATAAAAGTCATATGATCATCTCAACAGATACAGACAAAGCAACTGACAAAATTCAACATCTTTCATGATTAAAAAATTTCAACAAATTCAGAATAGAAGGAACATGCTTCGACATAGTAAAATGCCATATATGACAAGCCCAGAGCTAACACCTTACCTAAGATCAAGAACAGGACAAGGATGCCTTCTTTTGTTACCTTTATTCAAGATAGTATTTTAAGTATGATCTAGAGCATTTAAGCAAGGAAAAGAAATAAAAGGTATACAAATTGGAAAGGAAGAAGTAAAACTGTCTCTAATTGCAGATGACACAATATATATGGAAAACCCTAAGAATTCCACCACAAAACTATTAGAGTTAATAAACAAATTCAGTAAAGTTGCAGAAGGCAAAATCAACATAAACAATCAGTTTTTATGTATCAACAATGAACTATCTGAAGAAGAAATAAAACAATCCCATTTACAATGGTATAATAAACAATAAAACATTTAGAGATAAATGTATCCAAGGAAGTGAAAAGTCTATACACCAAAAACTACAAGATACTGATGAAAGAAATTGAAGAAACAAATAAGAACAAATATGCCATGTTCACTGATGAGAGGAGTTAATGGTAATAAAACATTCAAGTTACCCAAAGCAATCTATAGATTCCAATCCAATCCTTATTAAAAGGTATTTTTTTATAGAGATAGAAAAAAAAAATTCTAAAACTCATATGATACCACAAAGACCCCAAACACATGAACGGATCCTGAGAAAGAACAATAGTGCTGGAGTCATTACACTTCTTGATTTCAAATATACTACAAGTAATCAATGCACTATGGTACTGGCATTAGAAATAGACACTCAGATCAATGGAAAGAAGAAAGGGCCCAAAATAAACTCATGCATATATGGTGAATTAGTTTTCAACAAAGGATCCAGGAATATACAATGGAGGAATAGTCTCTTCAGTAAATGATGTTGGTACAAAAAAGAATAAAAGTGAACTCTAATCTTACATCACACACAAAAATCAACTTAAAACAGATTAAAAATGTAAATGTAAGATCTGAAACAATAAAACTCTTAAAAGAAAACATAGGGGGTAATCTCCTTGACATTAACCTTGGCAATGTTTTTTTGGATCTGACACCAAAAGTAAAGGCAACAAAAAGTAAGCAAACAAACAAAGTGGGAGTACATCAAGCTTAAAAACTTCTGGACAGCAAAGGTGAGTAAAATGAAAAGGGTTTAACCTATGGAACAGGAGAAAATATTTGCAAACCGTATGTCCTATAAGAGGTTAATATCTAAAATATACAAAGAACTCATACAATTGAACAGCAAAACAAAAAACAAACAACAGCAAAAAAAAAAAAAAAAAAAAAAAACAACAAAGGCAAAACCCCAAATAAACCAATTAAAAATGGGCAAAAGGCCCAATTAGATGTTTTTTCAGAGAAGACATATAAATGGCCAACATGTACATGAAAAGGTGATCAATATCAGTAATCATCAGGAAAATGCAAATCAAAACCATAATGAGGTATTACCTCATGTATTATCAAAAAGAAAATAGATAAATGCTGGTGAGGATGTGGAGAAGAGGGAAACTTTGAGCAATGTTGCTGGAAAGGTAAGATGTATAGCCACCATGGAAAACAGGAGGATATTCCTCAAGAAACTAAAACTACATGTTTTATGCTGTATGATCCAGCAATCTTACTTCCGGGTATATAGCTAAATGAAACAAAATTACTAACTTGAAGAGATATCTGTACTTCAATGTTTATTGCAGAATTATTTACAATTGTCAAGGTACAGAAACAAACTAAATGTCCATCAACAGGGGTGCCTGGGTGGCTCAGTCATTAAGTGTCTGCCTTTGGCTCAGGTCATGATCCTAGGGTCTTGGGATAAACCCCTGCATCGGGCTCCCTGCTCAGCAAGGGGGTCTGCTTCTCCTTCTCCCACTCCCCCTGCTTATGTTCCCTCTCTCATTGTATCTCTCTCTGTCAAATAAATAAATAAAATCTTTAAAAAAATGTCCATCAACAGATAAGTGGATAAAAAAATGTGGTGTATATATGTGTATGTATATATATATATATATATATATATATATATATATACACAATAGAATATTATCCAATCTTTCATAAAGAAGAAAATCTTGTCTTTTTTTAAAAAAGATTTTATTTATTTATTTGACAGAGAGATCACAAGTAGGTAGAGAGGCAGGCAGAGAGAGAGGAGGAAGCAGGCTCCCCACTGAGCAGAGAGCCAGATGCGGCGGGGCTCCATCCCTGGACCCTGGGATCATGACCTGAGCCGAAGGCAGAGGCTTTAACCCACTGAGCCACCCAGGCGCCCCAATCTTGTCTTTTTTGATAACATGGACAAACATGGAGGGTATTACACTAAGTGAAATAAGCCAGACACAGAAAAAAAAAAAAATATTGCATGGTATCACTTATTCTGACCACTCCCCCACTGAAAAAAAAGCAGCCGAACTTGTAAAGACAGAGGATAATAGTGGTTGTCAGGGGCTGGGGTGGGGGGGAGGGGAAAAGGAGATAATAAGATAAGGGGGGTAATAAGGAGAGGTTGATAAAAGGTTTTAAACTTTCAGTTACAAGATGAATAAGGTTTGAGGATCTAATGTATAACATGATGACTATAGTTGACAATACTATATTATGTAATTAAAATTTGCTAGGAAAGTAGAATTTAAGTGTTCTCACCAAACAAAAGAACAAAGGTACAAACAAAAAGTATGTGAGGTGATGAATGCATTAATTTCATTTCATGGAAGGAATCATTTCACAATGTATACATATATCAAATCATCACATTGTACACTTTAAATGTATTACAATTGTGTCAACTCTATTTCAATAAAGATGAAAAAAATTTTAAAAGCTTTATTTTCTCCCTTGAGCTAACACAATCCTATGGAAAATCTCAGGAGAAATTTTCTTTAAGTTGTCTGTTTTTCAGTGTTTCAATGATTATTAGCTGGGTCAATATACAAAGCATTTCTCCTCCCAAGAGTTATCTTATTTACTGAGCTCATGAATAACCTGACTGAAGGAAGTGATATGTAGATTAACTGGACGATAGTTATACCATATGACAGGAGCACATGTAAACTTCTTAAAAGCTTACCTTCTCTCTTAAAAATTTAAGAGCAACATTGTGCTTTCTGATTACATGGGATTAAAAAAAAGTGCATGCATATAATCCTAGTCCTTTCACCCTACTCTTGTGTACTTTTTAATTTTTTACCTCATTTCCTAGAAGGGCATTTACACAGGCTTCTGAGGCATCACAGATGGCTGTGAGATCATGTCCTCCTTCTAGAGCCAACACCACGTGTCCATCAGCCAATGTCATCAACTGCTTCGTCAAATGACCAAAGCCTATCATAACACAAACAGAATATTTCAAGTATTAAAAGAGAATATTACTAGAATCTAATATTGATTGAGCTTTTATTGTGTGTCCTTTCTCAGCATCTTCCATGGGCGAATTCATTTAATACTTACAATAACTTAATAAATCAGATTCCGTTATTGTCTATTTTACAATTGTGGGAATCAAAACCTGAGATCCCACAACTAAGAAGTATAACAACCAAAATTTATACCAAACGATATGGCTCCTCACCAATGCACAGTAGTGCCTTTCACAGCACATTCTATATGTACCTGGATGAAAAATTTGATGGCATTTGGCAAGTATTAATAAGGTAAATAATTTCCTATGGTTGATTTTTGTTTCTTGTCTCCCTCATGTCTTACCTTATTATAAAAGGAAACTGTTTTTTTTTTTTAACCTATCACCTCAAATTACTTAACTATCACATTAGATTTTTTTTTAAATGAAGCTTTTTTTTTTTTAAAGACTTTATTTATTTATTTGACAGAGATCACGAGTAGGCAGAGAGGCAGGCAGAGAGAGAGAGGAGAAAGCAGGCTCCCTGCGGAGCAGAAAGCCCCGATGCAGGACTCCATCCTAGGACCCTGAGATCATGACCTAAGCTGAAGGCAGAGGCTTTAACCCACTGAGCCACCCAGGCACCCCTATCATATTAGATTTTTATAGATATAATTTTGATTATAAAATAGTTGATAAATGGGGGCGCCTGGGTGGCTCAGTGGGTTAAAGCCTCTGCCTTCAACTCAGGTCATGATCCCAGGGTCCTGGGATTGAGCCACTCATTGGGCTCTCCACCCAGTGGGGAGCCTGCTTCCTCCACTCTCTCTGCCTGCCTCTCTGCCTACTTGTGATCTCTGTCTGTCAAATAAATAAATAAAATATTTTAAAAAAATAGTTGATAAATGTAAAAAATAAATAACACCTATATATATTATAAAGTATAATGATATGAGAAATACCTGTTCACTCACCTTTCAATTTAAGGAAAATAATGTCAGCAATACTCTTTTTTTTTTTAAATATTTTATTTATTTATTTGACAGAGAGATCACAAGTAGGCAGAGAAGCAGGCAGAGAGAGAGGGAAGCAGGCTCCCCACTGAGCAGAGAGCCCGATGTGGGGCTCGATCCCAGGACGCTGAGATCATAACCTGAGCCAAAGGCAGAGGCCTAACCCACTGAGCCACCCAGGTGCCCCTGTCAGCAATACTCTTGAAGCCCCTTGCGTATTTCTATTAATATCCCTCCTCCTCCCTATGGGAAATTAGGATCTTGACTTTGTGTTGATAATTCCTTTGCCTTTTTTTTTGAACTTCATAAAATTGGTTTTATATTTTCACAACTTGCTCTTTTTAGTCAATATCTTGTTAGCTCACCTCTTTGATAAATGTAGCTATAGTTCTGTGCTGTCTAGTAGGCCATATTATGAGTATAAAAGAATTTATTTACCCAATCTCCTGATGACAGATACTTGCATTTTTATTACAAAACTCCAAAGCTTTGTTATTAAAAATAATGCCTCCAGAACATTTTTATAGCACTTCTGTGGTTCACATGTGCAACAGTGGACTAAAACCATTGTGGCTTAAAATCTGCTAAATAATACTAGATTATTTCTAAAAGGCTATAAACTCTACTCTGAGAAGCAGTGTATGTAAGAATTCCAGTTTAGTCACATCCTTGCCAATGTTTGGTACAATTTGCCAAGCAAGTGAGTGAATAATGGCATCTTTCTGTGGTTTCATTCAGTTCTAGGAGGGACCTTACTATTTCTACATTGAATTAAAGCTTTTATTATAAATAGATGTTAAATTTGTTTACACCAAGATGAGATTTTTTTCTATAATTTCATAGTTGTTGAGAGTCACATTAATTAGTATTTCTAATTTTAAGCCATCATGAAATTTATGGAGTATAATAAGCTTTATTGTGATGTAATTATCTATTTTGTACATAGCTGAAATTGTTTTACTACTGCTTTGTTTAGGATTTTTTTCACCTATGTTCATGAATGGGCTTAATCTATAATTTTCCAGTCCTGTATTGGCCATGTTGAATTTGATGTGGTCAGGATCACCTTTTTTTTATTATATGATTTTAGAAAGTTGGGTAGAAATCTCCTGGAAAACCATTTGAGTTTTGTGGGTTTTGAGAAAGACTTTTAACTATTGATAGAATTTCTTTAGCAACTATAGGGCTACTCATGCTTTCTATATCTTCATAAGTTATATTTTTCTAGAAATTTATTTGTGTTCAAATTTATTGAACTGAAGTTATTTATTTATTATCTTATTTTGAAATTTCAATTAGATGTATGTGGTCATGGTCATTATATTCTCAATGTCTCTTAAGCTTTATTTCATATTTTTTGTCTCCTTCTGTCCTGAATTATAAGTATTTTTATTTCATATCTACCTTCCAGTCTTTCTTTCTCCACATGTGTCTAATCTACTGTTTAACATTTCTATTGGTATCTTCATTTCAGTGATTATACTGTTGAATTCCAGGTGCTCTATTTGGTTAGATTTCATAACTTCTTAGTTATTTTATAGTTTTTTACTCTTTGCTCATGGTTTTATTTCTTCCTTTTATTTCTTTACCCATAATTATTTTATATTCCGTATCTGTTATTTTAAGTCTTTATGGCTTAGTATTACTATTTGTTGTTTCTGCTGATTCATCCTCATGATGTCTTAATTCTCCTCTGTTATCTATCTATCTAGCTACCTATCTCATACACATGGAACTTCCAATGTGAGAAGTTTTTGAAGACTGAACTGAACTTGATATCTATTTTTGAAACCTGGAATGGGTGTGATTTTGTTTGCCTCTACTGGATGGCTGGGATACTATCACTAGGAGAAATTTAAATTCTTAGATTGCAGAGACTTTGCTTTTTTAATGCACAGTTATTGTAAATGTGGACCCCTAAAAACCTGATTACAAATTATCATGTAAAAAATGAGACTTTTTCCCCTTTTGTTTTCATTGCTTTTTCAATTCCCTCTATTTATAGATCTAGCTAAGATATATTTGTTGTTTTTATTCAGCAGTATTTCCTCTTCCATTAACCCTTTTTCTTAGAGTTGGCCCTTTCTTATTCCTTTCTTTATGCTGTTCTCCAACAAAACTTCTCCCTTCAGAGGCCTAAGGCTTTGACTCCCTTTTCTAGCAGTAGTCTGTTAAAAATGTTCAGGCTCTAGCCAGTAGAGGACTTTGTGATAGCCCAGGGCAGCCAACAGCCACAGTATTTGCTTACATTCCTTCATCTTTTTGGAAGTGATTCATAAATCTAAAAAGTAGTTTTGCTATTTTCATGTAGAAATGTTTCAGGATGTATAGGCTGCCAAATATAAATATCTCTCATTCAACATTTAAAAAATTTTAAAATTGCATCCAACTTGCCCAATTTCAAGGACAAGTGCAAAAAAAAAAAAAAAAGATAAGTGAAAATAAATAAAACTATGTGTTCAATATGGCATTTCATTTTTTTTGTTTTGTTCTGTATTGTGATTTACTTACAAAATTTCACTAAATAATATTAAGTACCTTTAAAAAAAATTGGCATTAGTCCTATAAAGGACATTAAGTTAATTCTTAAGCCTACAAAAATTGCCTTAGTAGCAATGGTCCTAGGCATATTATTTTAACTAAAATCTGACTCCAAAGCCCATATATAGTTTCTGATTCTACACATTCAGTTTGAAGTATAATTTAATTAGATTGACAGGAGGACCCAAGCAGTCCTATTAATGTCTACAAGAGGTGTATGTTAGCCTACTGATTACATCCCTCTAGCTGTACCACAATTTATTTATAATGGGACAACCGAGTTGCCCTATTATGCTAAAATATGATTCCTCTGGAAAAAACAAGGCATTATCTAGATTAGCTAGACTGGTCAATAGGATGAGTAAAAAGTGGCTGTCAGTAGTAAAAAATAGTTTCATTTCTTTGAACTTTTTCCTTTTCTGGACTCCTTATTTTTTTCTGATTTTGAAGGCTTTGAAGATTTTGTTTTTTTCTTGCTCATTGCATCAGTTTCCATAGAGTCTTCATCAGATTGAGTGTCATCTTTATTTAACTCTTCATTGTTTTCAGAATCCAGTCTCTGGTTTGTCAGAAATTGGGATACAGATATGTGGAATTGAATGCAAGTGACACTCTGGAGTAAGAATAGTTTCAAGGACATTGTTGTTGAATCAGTGAATGATACCAATATCACCAGCTTTTATTCAACCTCTCAACATGGGTCAAGTGGAGCAGCCCATTCAGTAAATACAAAACATATTCTCACCAAGGAAGAAGTAGATGGCATGTCAGGAAATGAGGACAGGGAAGAATTCAGGAATTAATTGGTCTGATAAAGCATACAAAAATTCCCATTATTTGTATGTGCAATGATAGAAATCATCCCAAGGTTCAGTCTTTGGTTCATTATTGCTTTGATCTTTGCTTTCAAAGACCCTGAATTGAACAGATTAAGGGTGCTATAATGTCTACTGAATTTAAAGAGGGTTTGAAGATCCTCCTTCCAGCTATGAATGAAATAATTTTAGGAGCCAATCAAGGTATCAGACAGGTTTTACACAATCTGAGGATGTGGTGTGCATGAAGTAAGGCACTGACCTATGACCAGGTCAGGGATGATTCTCACAGAGCCAAAAAGGATATCAGACTGGGCTCATTTGATGATGCCTGGAAAGTGTTTGTAGCTGGAGAGGAGACTGCTCATTTGTCACTTGTGGACAAGTCAGATCTCTTTTTTCAAGATCATTCAATAGCACCCCTCTTTGTCCAGGAGAACTACATACATGTGAAGCTTCCAGCTTCAGGGGGTAACATGAAAAAGCACCTGATGCTTTTTAGCAGAGCAGCAAATAGCATATGTGATGATGATCTAGTGGACCATCACATGCAGAGTAAGCAAAACTGGAGTCTTCTGCCCACACAGGCTATTTATAACAGTGTTCTTCCTGGAG